TTGAAGACACAGAGGGGAGACAAGTCAATAAAAGAGTTGAAAGTGGTCACCTTTAGAATGGCATGTAATTGTGTACACACACGTGAGTGTACACACACACACACAAGCTACATTGTTATGCAGGCTCTGTAGAACATTGATTTGGCTCACAGGACTTGGACAAAAAATCGTACTAGTCCTTGGGATTCTTCTCATTCTACGACTACTAGAGTGAGTTCCTTCTGAATCAACAACACTGAGAAAAAAGCTAGGGCAACTCTAGAAACCCAGGAGCATTCCTTCAGCAATGTAAGGCCTCTCTTAGTCTGCCCTTGTGTCTCATAGGCACAGCTCTGAGCCCCACTTATCTTGATGCCTATCCAGCAAGAAAAGCAAGGCTGATGGCTGGCAGACTCCCCTCTCTGCTATGGAGGTTTGGTTGAACAAGACAAATAGGTACTTTAAAAAGCGTGCCAGCCAGCCAGACAGTAGAATCATGCAAAGGAGGTATAAGTGGTAGAACACTTTGTTTGCATGAGGTCCCAGATCCAATTTCTCACACTTACTTTCAAAAGGATCCTCCACGAGAGCCAGCAAAGCAGGGGACCCAAACCTCAGGTACTCAAAGCAGAGTCAATGACACTGGGCTAGAAGACTGGTGCAGTAAGGCAACCCAAGGATTATGTTTTGGAAATGGGAATGGCCAAGACACTGCCATTTAAAAACTGTGGACATTAAACTGTGCAAGTTTAAATAGGAAGCTTAAAAATGTGCGTAAGCACCAGATGTACTAGCCAGAACATACTCTCTTTTTTTTTGAAAAACAGGCCCACCACCAACTGAATGTTTGGGAAGGGGTGGAACAGTACACTGGACACCATGACTATTTTAATACTGACGTCATGATACCAGACCACACAAAAATTAAAAGATTTAAAATAAAAATTAAAAAATATATTTACACATGCCTTAAGATGAAAATCACTCAGACTCTGTATTTACAAAGATATTTGGCAAAAGCAACCATGACATTTGTTTACTATTGTTTGAAAAACACTTTTCCTCTGTTAAAAGATGGCTGAATAAGAAAAGTTTTGTCAAAAACCTCTAAGAACCAGCATGAATATCCATAAGTGGTGGGAGAAACAGTGAATATGCTACAGAAAGGAAACATAATATACATGATCAAAATCACTTTTTCTTTTTACAACTTTAACACAAAAAACTCAAGTTTTTACAACGTTAACACAAAAACCTCCAGGTGTGCAGCACCTTCATATAAGTCCAGACAACCTATCATTTGAAGTCCTGATTCTTGTTCAGAGTGCACAACAATCAAAGGTATAGGGCAAGCTACATGCACACAAAGGTTTCCAGCTTCAGGTTGTACAGCAGCCATTCTCAACAGGAGACATATGCCCTCCCCTCCCCCCCCCCTCGGGGAAGGCTGGCACATTTGAAAGGAGCCACAAACTGGAAATAATTACTCACACACCATCTTATAAGGTTTGTCGTGCAACTTATACAATCCTGATTCAGCCCATATTTCATGTTGTGTTTATGGCCATGTCTCCCCCCAAAAAGAGGGGGGTTTGAGAATGACTGCTATTACACATGCTCTGCTATGACCACCATACAGATTTGTTTGGTACAGATTCAGCAACATTAATTTCCTCACTTCTCAGGGTAAAAAAGCCTAGAGTCAGTAACAGTATTCGTAGGGACTAGGAGTCTGTGTGAACTGGACTAGTCAGAAGTTTGGACTTACTCATATATTTTCCAATAAGGATTTCTGTTTGCTAAACTCTCCTTTCAAAAGCTAAATAAATACATCTGGCTATTACTCTCCTGATTGTTTGGATGAGAGCAAAGGCATTTTGCAGGAGACAGAACAAATGGTACTATTACCTCTTTACAAAAGTTTGCTTCTTTGTCACAGTACACAGAACATTCTGGTCCAATTGTAGGTTAAATTCCCCTGTTATGCTCCGCTGCCTACAGCACACAAGAAAGTGCACACAGACAAGTATTGAACCTGGGAGACCATATTCCATGGGGTGATAAAAATGCCACTGAGGTAAGTTTTTCTATTGGAAGAAGAAAATTTGTAGGAAATCCTTTGTTTTCACAACTTCGTCTACAGACTTCAGGGCCTATTCCCAATTGCTAGGCTCAGAAGAGACCCACTGGCTGCAATCTTGTTGCTTAGTGCAGTAAGTCATTCTATTTGAGGGCCATTTGAATCAATGGAACTTATAGAGGAGTTGACTCATCAAATCCCCACTGATCCAACGAGAATTTTCTAGCTTGACTTACTACACTAACCAGCAGGATTTCACAGATTGAATCAATAGCTGAGCAGCACATCAACCTTTAGGAAAGCTCCACTGTTTCAATAGTGTTTTTTTTTAAAAAAAAAAATTGCCCATTGGATTCAATTGTCTATATGCTTAGTAGGCAATTGTCTATATGCTTATGTATGTTAACTCAACGAATCATTCATTTAAATTTATAATGCATTTGCCACAGATCCTGTCCATGGGTCAAAACAAAGGAAGTTGTCTATGTTTGGGGCCTTTAAGAGACAGTTTAGAAATCTCAGAAGTCTCACTGACTAAAATCTAGTAGTAGGTCACAACTAGAATAAGCCTATTGAAACAGTGGGGATTGGGTGAGTCAGCTCCTTCATACATTCCACTGAGATATATCATGACAACAAAGCTTCCTTAAGAAAAGGAAAATAAAGTTGCACAAATAAGGAAAGCAATAAAGTTGCACAAATTTAAACAACAATGTTCTTACTCCATAATACAAGTGGGGGTAGGGAAGGAAAGTTGAGTAACATTTTCTTCCTATTTTTAACGCATTCTCTGTTGAACGCAGACATCAAACATTTCACGCTTCCTACAGATTTGTTTAGGTTAGGAATGTGGAACATGTGGTCAGCCCTAACTCAGCACGGCTAATGTCACGGGATGAAGCGCTAGCCTCTTAGAAACTGGAGGGCCTTGACTCGCAGAGACACTGAGGCCTGCTTTCTAGGATTAGTTTTCAAACATATGCTAATTTATAAATACCAAAATGCCTGAAGTCTAAATGACTGGACAAGCAAGAGTTCTTTTTACCTTTTTTTAAAATCCCAGCTGTGATTTACAGCACTTAGCCAGTGTAAATGCTTGTCAGTAATTTTTCAGGAATTCAGATAGAAAGAATGGCCAATGTTTAGTGAATTATGTTAGCTTCAAGGCTCCGTAGGGCTGCAAATGGTACATGTAACTAAAGACCAAAAAGACAATTAAAAAGACACAACCATTTTTAGACAGAATTCCCTCCAGCAGTATTCCAAACAAAGCATTTCAGCTTCCCGTTTTTTGTTCTTTTTTTCTTTTCTTTTTCAAAACAGCTTGGGAGACCGCTACAAAAATGCCTGGAGGAAAATGACTGTGGTGAATACTCTAAAAATGAAGCTTACAAGCTTCCTGGTGTGTACTTTGCATATCCTATATTTTAACAGTTGAAACATTCTTGCCAAAATGGTGGACAGCACAGTGACGCTTACACAGAGGGACGTTTGCCGCTGTGGCCAGAAAGCAAAATCCAGACGGGTAGCTATGCTTGTTGTTTTTGCTGCAACACAGACTAGCCTTATGGCACCATAAAGATCAACAAATTTATTATGGCAAATTTATTATAACGAACCTTCCCACAGGTATGCAGTGATGATGGTTCTAGGCTTCAAAAGCTCACAGCATTATATATTTGCCACTATAAATGTCATAAGGTGGTGTTTCTGTTGCTGCTGTTTTCTGTAAAATGAAACCTTACTCTAATGCCCCAAACAAAAAATAAATGAAATAAAATGTATTTCATTTAAACAGTCAATACCTTATAAGAACTCCTTGGGTTAAACACAGCAACTGGGCTAAACCAGCCATGAATGCTATGCTACTTTTCTCTTTCAAAGGTGCTATAACCACAAAATCCCACACAGAAGCTGGAACTGAATGCACAGCATTAGCGACAATAAAATGATGGGTGCTGCAGAAGTGCTTGGGGTGTTATCCACATTAAAGGGGGGGGGAGACAGTTAAATTTGGCAAAAAGTTTCTTTCAGTTTTGTTCAATAAAAGAAATGTGCCATTACCTTTTGCATTGTTTCCCTTTTTAATGTTAACTAATTCCCAGCCCCCAGGCAGGTTAAAGATCATTTCAGAATAAAAACTATGATTTTGGAGGGGGGGGGGAGCCATGACCTCAGTTACCACAAAATACAATTACTATATGAGAGAGAGAGAGAGAGAGAGAGAGAGAGAGAGAAACTGAGCACTTATCTGGCTCTCTTCTCTCTTGCTTTTACTCTTTCTTTTTAAGTAAAAAAATATGACTACCTCCGTGTACAGGCCCAAGACATCCTTTTCCCAACATCACTAATAAAGGGGCTACCAATCCTGTAGAACAACACAGACCATGTAAGATACATTACCACTCCTGCCTCTATATTTGCTCTTCCCCACAAAAGGGCCAAAGTTCGTTTAAACAAACCTTACACAATCCTGCAAGTGTTTTCTAACATTTATATTCCCTTTGCATACATGAAGGGGGAGGAGACACAAGACGTGTAGCTATTCAATGATCCACCATCCTTTACTTGGCTGACAGAAGAAACAGAGGTCAATAAAGATGTCATGATGGCACCTGGCATTTAAGAGTTTTATTATTATTATGATTATTTTAGTGTTCCGCTCATCGATTTATTTCCATATAAAGTGGTCCAAGAAGAGAAAGAGTCCCTGTGGTTTTTTTTCCTGCTGTTGAACCAAGTTCCACAGAGTTGGAATGTCCAAGGTCAGCTCAGATGGTTTAATAAAAAGGCAGCAGAAAAAGTACAGTTCCTACATTTCCAAGTTGATCAGTCCAAAGGTTCAGCACAGGTGATGTACCTCCAAAGGAATCAACGGCAAAAAAGAAAAAGAAAAAGAAAAAACACCTCCCACCAAGTCGTGCATAGCGCATCGAAAAAAGAAAAAAGAAAAAGAAAAAACACCTCCCACTAAGTTGTGCATAGCGCATCACCAGTCTATTAAGTTGTAGTGGTATACTGTGCATTTTGTCAGAGGTCCATGGTGCAAGGAAGGAGGGGTAGGGATTAAAGATACCACTTCTTATTTGGTCTCAGACTTATCTTGCAACAGAGGTATAATCGACTCCCACGCCGTAAGGCACTGTTGAAATCAGAGACAGAGATAACACCAATAAATGAGCCACCGATATGGCCATTTTCAATCAGCATGTACGAGGTACTCAATCAATTTATTGTTATGGTCCTTAGGCCACTCATTCAAAAAACAAACAAACCTTTACAAATTTCCAAACTTCCAAGTACTTCATAAAAATACTTAGCATTAAAAGGCAATTTAAAATCTAATATCTAATTACCATAGAATTTCTGAGGCCTGAGCATTGCCAAACAGAATCTGGCTATTTGGTAAGTGATCCTGGGGTCTGTATCAGTTTTTTCCTGAATGACCAGGAATTATTTTTGATGACTGGGGTGAAAATCTCTTTATGTGCCACCTCGTAATGCAGGCAAGTAAAGAACAACATGTGCTCTCCAGTCTCAAACTCCCTTAAAGGACAGGTACAAAGCGTTTCACTAAAACGGATATTGTTGTACTTCCCTTCGAGTATGGCAGAAGGGAGAGCCAAGCACCTTGCCAAGGTGAAGGCTCTTCTAAACCCTTTTACATCCGGAGATGTTAAGTAATTTGCTGGTTCCTCTGAGTTTTTAATGTCAGCCCTCACCATGATATTTTGTGTGCTGGGAAAGTCGGTTTGATGTTCTATACCCTCAATTCTCTGCTTAACTAATTTTTTTGCCTGGTCTATTCCATAAAATAAAGAGTACCTGAGGGGAAAGGCTAATTATCAGCAAGCAGCTCTGGACAGACTTGACCCAGTGGATTGAAATTTGTCATGGATTATCAAAGGAAATAGATCTTGCGGATTCAGATGTTCCTTTAGCCATGTATATACAGATGGGATACGGACCCAGGTTTCAACTCAACTAATTTTTTTGCCTGGTCTATTCCATAAAATAAAGAGTACCTGAGGGGAAAGGCTAATTATCAGCAAGCAGCTCTGGACAGACTTGACCCAGTGGATTGAAATTTGTCATGGATTATCAAAGGAAATAGATCTTGCGGATTCAGATGTTCCTTTAGCCATGTATATACAGATGGGATACGGACGCAGGTTTCAACTTTTAGGCAACCTGCCTCCAATCTTACTCTGGTATTTGGCACACAACTAGGAACCTGTAAGAATGTTCTTACATTTTTAGGTTGGTCTCTTGTGGTGCAAAATGGGAGCTAAGAGGCCCCAGGAATGTAGAAGGTGAAAGCATTTCATCAGCCATTACTGAACTCCCACACAGGACCTGCCAGCAACAATTAATTAACAATGCCCTGTTTTTGTTCATCATCTGCTTGTACCTCGCATCCTGACTTCACTTATATCAGATACTTCACGCATTAGGTAGTGAAGAATGCCCAGTACAGCATGCAGTTACCCAGCAGAGAGGGGAAAAGCTAATAGATGAAGTAACCATGCTCTGCTGAAGCTGGTAAGGAGCTGATTCCCTACCCCCCTTTCCCGCTTATTTTATTAATTTATTTAAAATACTTTACCCTGCCTTACTCCTTGAAAAGGACCCAAGGCCGCTTACAACATTAAAGACAATCTTTAAAGTTGAAAACAGTGAGTATACAACAGTGGTTAACATCATTGAAAGACAATATTTAAACTTAGGAACAATGAGTATAGGCAGGTAGCTCACATCATTAAAAGGCAATATTAAAGCTAAGAACATTAAGTATACAAATATTAAAAAGAAACAAACCTAATACCACTGAGAAATGGAAAACAGTAGTAGTACTAAAAATCCAGTCAAAGCAGTAATGCATAACAGTCCACCTAAAAACCATGCAACATGTAGCTGGTTACTGAGCGGACTTACCTGAAGAGAAAGGTCTTTGCGTCCTTGTGGAAGGAGAGCAAAGATGGGGCCAGTCAGGCCTCCTGTGGGGGGAAGTTCCAGAGTCTGGGAGCAGCAACAGAGAAGGCCCTCTCCTGTGTCCCCACCAAAAGCACCTGTGAAGGTGGTGGGACTGATAGAAAAGCCTCTTAACACCCCAGCTCGCTCATAATGGGAGATTCAGTCTTTGAGATAGCTTAGATCTAGACCATTTAGGGCTTTATACCAGTACTTTGAATTGTGCCCGGAAACTGACCAGCTGTCAGTCATCATAGGCATCCTTCAGTCTCGACGGTGTGGGTGGGGGAGCCGGGGGGGGGGGGGGTTATGTGATCCTCGTAACCAGTCCCAGTCACCAATCTGGCTGATGAATTTTGAGCCTGCTGAAGTTTCCTGACGCTTTCCATTGGCAGCCCCACATAGAGTGTGTTATAGTAAGCTGGGAAGTAACTGCGGCTTGCATCACAGAGGCCATATCAAATCTCTCAAGAAACGGATGTAGCTGGTACACTAGTTTTAATTGTGCGAAGCCACTCCTGGCCACTGCTGAGATCTGGACATCCAGGCTCAGAGACGAATCCAGGAGCACCCCAAAGCTGCACACCTGTTTTGTCAGGGGGAGTGTAACCCAATCCAGTACAGGCTGCATCACCCATGCTCCTTGATCTGCCTTTCAATTGACCAGAATCACCTCTGTCTTGTCTGGATTAAGTTACAATTTATTCACCCTCATCCAGCCCATTACTGATATCAAACACTGAGATATAGTTGAAATAATTCCCTCAGATTTAGGTGGTAAAGAGAGGTAGAGTTGGGTGTCACTCACATACTGGATGACACCGAACCCCAAAACTCTGGATAATCTTTCCCAGTGGTTTCACATAGATGTTAAATAACACAGGAGACAAAACAGAATCCTGAGGTATCCCACAGGTCAGTGGCCAGGGTGTCAAATAGGAATCCCCCAGCACCACCTTCTGAGTTCTTGCCTCCAGGAAGGAGTGGAGCCCCTAAGTTCCATTCCAGAGAAACGGGTCAGGAGGATACTGTGCTCAATAATATCAAAAACCACTGAGAGGTCCAGAAAAACAAGCAGAAACAAAGAACCCCTATCCAGTTCTCAGCATAGGTCATCTACCAAGGTGACCAAAGCCATCTCTATCCCATAACCAGGCCTGAAGCCAGATTGAAATGGATCTAGATATCTGTCTCATCCTCTGAAGCTGAGAGGCCACAACCCTCTCTAGCACTTTCCCCAAGAATGGGATATTAGATACTGGTCAGCATTGTGGGGTCCAAAGAGGGCTTTTTTAAAACAATGGTCTTACTATTGCTTCCTTTAAGCATGCAGGGATCCCGCCCTGTTGCAAGGAGGCATTCTCCTCCTACCCACTTGGCCGATCTCTTTTTGTTTTACGAGCCAGGAAGGGCAAGGATCCAGCAGACACGTGGTAGCCCCCACCTCCTCGAGGGTCCTGACCACATCATCAGACTACAAAAACTGAAACTCATCTATTAACACAGGACAAGCAGGGGCCACAGTTACATTCACAGGACCTGAACCAACTACAGCATCCAAGCCAGAGCAGATCTGAGCAATTTTGCCTGCGAAGTGTTGTACAAATTCTTCACAGTGTGGTCTGCATTATCTTACTGGAGGCCAGAATGCAGCAGGTCCTTGACCATTTGAAAAAGCTCTGCTGGGCGATTCCATGCAGATGCACTGGTGGCAGAGAAGAATGAGTTTTTTGCCGCTTTCACTGCAATGAAATAGGCCTTCCAATGGGCCCTAGCTTTTTTAAAATCATATTCACTCTGGGTTTTACACCATCATCGCTCAAATCTATGGCCCACTCATTTCATCTACACCAGCAACCTGGTAAACCTGGTGGCCAGTTTGGCTCTACTCTGAGGGAGGAGATGTTTAGGAGAAATCATGCCAACGGCTCTTGCCATTTCCCTGTTCCAGAGATCAACCAGGGATTCAAGGTGACAGAAAACTCCCCAAGGGCAATCATAAAGCCATCCAAATCCATCAACTTTCTGGGGAGGATTGCCTTAGTCTGCCCCCACCCCACAACCCTGCAAAGGCTGTGCATTCCAATGAGTCCAAATCACACCAGAAAATGGTCTGTCCATGACAATGGAACTGCAGAAAGTTCCTCTACACCCAGGTCATTGACATCTGTGCCGGTACAGAAGACCAGATCTAAAGTCTGGCCTGAGACATGGGTGCTGGCAGATACCATTTGGGACAGACCCATGGTCATTGTGGAGGTCATGACGTCTTGAGACATCCCTGACGGAGCTGCCTCGGCATGGATGTTCAAGCCCCCCCCCACATGACAAGCCGAGGGGACTCCAACTTGTGCATTCAAGCACTGTAGAGCTGGGCAGTCTAGAGTAACACGCAGGACTCTACCCTACACATGCTTCACAACAGCAATCGGAAATTTTTCTGATAGTTTCCGGCATGGCCTCCTTTCGCAGGCCAACCAATCCAGCCTTTATAACATTCAGCCCATGCTTGGCCTGACTGAGACAACATTCTAACTCAGGATGAATAATGGCTGCCTCAGAGGAGGAGCACTGGCTGGATTCGCATGCAAATCACAAAACCATTCTAGAGCATGCAGCGTGACAGAACTCGAGATAGGCATGAACCACGGGTTCAGCAGCTCAACCTGGTTCATGTACTGCCACAAGAGGTGTCTGGATGTTCAGTGCCCCACCCCCTCCGGCAGGCCCCCACTCAGAAGCAATATCCCGGCTTCCCTGCCCCACTTCCTCTGGGTGCTGCCTCCGAGTGGGTGCCCACCAGTGGGAGCAGAGCCCTGAACCACCAAACACCTGTTTTGGTGACAAAACGAACCAGGACATCTCCAGACAGAATCATTCTTACACTGCTGCACACCATTCTCTGCTGTCTTCCTGTACTCATTTGCAGCCTCAAAGAATTACCTTCTCATAGTACTGGATGTTTTTGTCAGCCATACCCATCAGTAGCTGCCTGAAGTCTTGACGCTTGTTGTTCTGCCATCTGTCCATATCTGCTTTCAGGTCTGCATTGAAGCACTCCACACGGTCTTGACACTTTTCCACATCTACGGGCAACTGGAAAGAGAGAAGAGACCTTTCACTAGGCCAACTGGGCTTAGACCCAGTTCTGTAGCCTTGCAAATGGAAAATGCCCATGCCTCTCCCCACCCCCACCCTGCCTTGTTAACAAGACAAAAAAGGGGAGATGTTACAATTGCACCCAGAAAGAGCTTTGGGGAAAATTTTCTTCTTCTTTTTGAACAACAACTCTCAGAATCCCTTAACCAGCACGGCCAGTGGTCATGCTTGGAAAATTTTCAAAAAAGTGGCCCGAAAAAAAGCAAAATTTCCAACATACACACGGTTTGAATTGACAGACAAATGTGTTAACTAATCGCTGCTATTGGGCTGACATCAAAGTTCTTTTCTCTCAGCTGTAGAACTATTAAGAGTTCCTGCATTAAGGTCTGGGTGGAAAGTATTTGATTGGAATGAGGGTGATCTGAATTCAATCTGCCACAAGGAAGCTATGAAATTTACTGGCTGGCTCTGAGCCAGTCTCTCTCTCTCTCAGTCCAACTAGTAACAGAATAAAACGGGAGTTCTTTGGGCACACTGGCCTGAATAAATTTACCTCATGCTGGTAGCAACATTGACTCCAAAGTCAATGCCCTCATTCCATGGAGCTTGTTCTTGGCAAGCGGCCCACATGCTGTCCTCAAACAACATTCATCACTTTTCTAAGATGATTTACACATTGATCCTACAACTATTTCCCCGTGAACACGGCAAAACCTGTAGCTACTTCTCACAAACAACAAACAAGACAAGCCCAAACACACATAAAGTTCATAAACCAGACAATTAGAACTACAGTGGGGTCTTGACTTGAGAACTTAATCCGCATTGGAAGGCGGTTCTCAAGTCAAAAAGTCTGTAAGTCAAGTCTCCATTGACCTACAGTGCATTGAAAACTGATTAATCCCGTAACAGGCCGTTTTTGTTCCATTTTGGTTTTTTTCTGGTCTGCAAGTCAAACCTAAATTTTGCAGCCCGAGAAGTCTGTAACTCAAAAAGTCTGTAAGTCAAGCCGTCTGTAAGTCAAGGGTCCACTGTACCTTGCTTGATCAAATTAAAAGATCAATTTTGCCCAATCTTCTAACAACTCTAACAATTCTAAGCACTGAATTCTAAGACTTGAATAAGATTAAAAACTAGTGGTAACAACAAGATCACCGTATTTTTCCATGTATAAAATGACACTTTTTCCTATAATAATTAGAGGTAAAATTGAGGGTCGTTTTATACATGGAAAGAGGCAGTCGCATGCACGCTCAGGCGCCTCTTGCTGCCGCCACTGCCCAATTGCCTCTTCCAGAGCTCACGGCTTGTCCCCTCCGGTAGCCCAGGAGGAGGAGGAGGAGGAGGAGGAAGCGAAGGAGCAATCACACGTGCTCGGGCGCCTCTTGCTGCTGCCTCCCCCACCTGCTCGATCACCTCCTCCAATGGGACTGATGGGGCTCAGCAGGAGGCAGAGGCAAACAAGCACACTTGCGTGCTTGGGCGCCTCTTCCTGCTGATGCCACTGCAGGATCACCTCCTCCAGCGATTGTCTGCTTAGGGCAGGGGGCAAGGTGGCCACGTGAGCTGGAGGCAGCAGCAGCAGGACAGACAGAGGTGGAGGAGCAGTTGCCCATTAACTGCTCCTCTGCCTCCAGCAAGCGTCAAAATTAGGGGGTCGTTTTATACACTGGCGGTTCCGCAAAATTAGGGGGTCGTTTTATACATTGGCGGGTCCTATACATGGAAAAATACAGTATTTTAAAAAACAAAGTTCTGGGTCATTCAATGTCTCCATTAGAGCACCAAAAAGTTACAATTAGGGAGAATTTTTGTGTTCTCCAGAACTATTAATCAGTTAAAGATGGTCTTAAACTTGAACTTAAGGCTACAAGTTTAAAATTTGAGCCAGATGTGATGCCCTTAAATCATGAAGCCAGATTGCCAGGATGTCAAAATGGATTTTTAGATTCCACACAAGATGGATGTCATAAAGGCATCAGTTTACAGGCTCTTTTCTCTCTACAGACCTGTGGGGAGATTGGGAGATCTGTTGGGAGTGGAAGCTGGGAGAAAATCAGGCTTTTTTCTGTAGACAGACAAGAGCTTATAAAGCAATATTTCTGTTACCTCCATTTCATGTTGAATCAAAAACTCCATTCAGACCTTGATGGTTTGAAGACCCAGGGGAATACTATTGGGTCCAATCTTTTAACTGAATCAAAAACTCCATTCAGACCTTGATGAAGACCCAAGGGAATACTATTGGGTCCAATCTTTTAATTATTTGTTTTAACCAAAAGTTTAATATCATCTTTCTGTGATGAAACATTGTGGAAAACTCAAAAGATCACAATCGCAATTTTTCTGTGATCCAATGAAGATGCTGAACAACGCAGCACTTTGTTTCTTTTAATGGATACCATAGCCACTTTTTGCATTCACTGCTGGAAAAATAAGTTTCACTTCCCTGTTTGGAATGCAGGACAAAAGACTAACCATTCCTCCAAAAAAGACTAACCTTGGGTCGGTCTTCTCTTTTGAGAGCCACGGCTTCTAGTTTGGCTTCATATTCTGCTTGAACTTGGTCTCTTTTCTTCAAGACATTCTAAAGCAGGGTCAGGGAGGAGAAACATTATGTTGCAATTAGAAGAGATTCCAAAGCAAAACTTCCTTCTCTCTGCTGCAGATGATTTTCAAACTTTGTAGGCCTCTTTAAGTCACTTTATACATCATCGCACCAAGACAAATGCAATCAGCTGATGCAATCCACAAACGCAATCCACTTGAACCCACTACCACTGAGCAGGAGGAAAGGGGAGGACACAGCCAGGGTCACGCTGTCTTCCTGTATTACACAGTTCATTTTCATCTGTTCAATTTTCTTAAGAAGTCATTAGGAAGTTATGATCAGCAACAGTAAGCAGATGTGAGATGCCATTAAAAGATAGCATTGGCGCAATGCCTTTTTCCTGCTAAAGAGACAACATGGTCTCCTCTATTTCACTCCTCCTTTCTAAACACATTCTGCACACATAAATGTCCACAACAGCATATCTATACACTGAGAAATACATACATTAAAAATAAACAAGTTAAGAAACGCACATACAAAAGAACACACTCAAATTTCCATATGGCAAAGTGAGGTGGAGAGAGAGGCTTGCAACCCAATACGGAACTTGGATGTAATGAGAATGCTAGTGGGATTCTAAAAAAACATTCCATTCATGACAACACAGAGAAAGAAGATGGCAGAGATTACACACGTCTTTTTGAGCAGTTGAGAGATTCTATCTTAAGTAAGTTAGTGGTACGGACACGCCCATTTTGGTGCAGAAAGCCTTAAGTGTTCCAGTAACATCTATCCAAAACCTGTTCTCCACATTCACAACCATGTCTAGCTGATACTGTGGACTGCTTTTCATTTTGTTCAAAATGTTGGCCAAATACAGCATCATACACATTGTACTGATGGTACGGATCACATAAAGGGGCTAGTGCCTGAACAACTGGAAGATCTGGTGTGTACTTTTGTCTGATGACAGGCACTGACTGAAGGCAGTTTCTGCAGTAAAAAGCAAATATAATGGCTGAAATTCTGCTGCTTGACATTGTAAATCACAGCCCTTAGTGTTCAATAGGCCTACTCTAGTTGCAACTCATTACGCTAAGCAACAAGAGTTCAGTCCACGATTATTTGGTCTGGGAGAAATCCACATCATGTTAGCTGTGTGGAACATTTGCCTGTAGTTATTAAATGTTTTAGGGTGCATAGTTCCAGTTAAACAGGTATTTTTGCTTTGGTACAAATATGCAAAAACTAGTTAATAAGCTAACTGCCTATGGCTAGAAGAAACCGGCCACAAGACAACGACAGAACTCCACTTAGGGATTAATCATTAACAGGCAAATTACATTTAAAAAGCATGGGGCAGTAAACACCCACGAACATACAAAAAGGCGCACAGATCTGGAACAAATACTATTTATTTTCAGCCAAAAAGGAAGAGCCAGGCCCATGTTGTACAAATATCAAGAGAAGCAGGTTTCATTAACAGCAACATACTTTTCCACCACTGTGGATTGCAATTTTAGTTCAAATCCCTGTTAATGGAAAGGCTGCATGTATTGACTTTATCTGCTGTCAGATAAGCTCTTTAATTGTGCCTCCCACTCACAATTGGAACATACATCATTTGTCTTCAGCTGTACAAGCTCAAAAATTAAAGGCACAGGTAACCAACTCAAGAGTAAATAGATGCAAAGACTAAAAGATTCACTGTTTTTCTAAGAGTTTTCCTCAAAAATTAAAGCAGAATTGTAGATTTATTTATCAAGCATAATCACTTCTATTTTATTAGAATTGCTGATTTATGGCACAGCAAACTACCTATGCTGAAGCCGGTCTTTATTTGGTTTGCATCTTAGATGCCTTTCCATAATTTCCTAGGAGCTTAACTACCCCTTATAATAAAAGAAGGAAAAACAGGCAGGCATCATAGAAAGCTGCCTTCTACCTGATCAAACTATTTATCTGTCTAACCCAGCACTGCCTACTCTGGCTGGTAATGGCTGCATACAGTGTTTCCCCGAAAATAAGACAGGGTCTTATATTAATTTTTGCTCCAAAAAAAGCAGTAGGGCTTATTTTCAGGGGATGTTTTATTTTTTTTCATGTACAACAATCTACGTTTATTCAAATACAGTGGTGCCCCGCATAGCGACGATAATCCGTTCCGGAAAAATCGTCGCTATGTGGATTCATCGCTATGTGAAATAAAAAAGCCCATAGGAATGCATTAAAACCCATTTAATGCGTTCCTATGGGCAAAAAACTCACAGTTATGCGAAAATCCTCCATACGGCCGCCATTTTCGCTGCCCGGTAAGCGAGGAATCGGCGCAAAAACACAGCGGGCGGCCATTTTTTTTACCTGGCGACCATTTTGAAACCGCCGATCAGCTATTAGGAAAACATCGCTATGCGAAAATCAGTGAGCGAAACAGTTTACCTATCATCACAGTGATTTTTTCCTATCTAAAGCATCGCAATGCGATCGCAAAAACTAAATCGCTATGCAAATTCGTCATTAAACGGGGCGCCCGTTAAGCGAGGCACCACTGTATAGTAATGTCATCTTCTGGTTGCTGCACAATGGTGGAGGGCAGGGTTTCACTTAACTAGGGCTTATTTTGGGGATAGGGCTTATATTACGAGCATCCTGAAAAATCCTACTAGGGCTTATTTTCAGGTTAGGTCTTATTTTCAGGGAAACAGGATAGATTCTCAAGCAGAAGCCCTTCACAATATCTGCAACACATTTTTATTTTTCAGCCAGAGCAAATATTGGGGATAAAGCCACATCTTCTTTAAAAATGTGTGCTCTACCACTGGGGCTACAGTCCCATTAGAAAGGTTACACAAGTTGGTTCTACGACACTGTTAAAATTTAAAATCAGAGCTTCAAGACACTATTTCCAATCTCAATTTCCCACAACCGTTTGTCTGAGGAAACCTGGGTCAGTGATTTTCATGGGTCTGCAAAGACACGTTTGCAAGAAAATACTGCATT